TATGTAACGAGAAGTCAACATTTGACTGGTTAAAGACGGGGTTGGAGTTAGCAAGCGTTTTGATATTTTTCCTATTTAACACTTTGTTCTTGTAAGATTCTTTAGTAAATTTAGGAAAATTTTAAATATTTCCAGGACATTCAAGATCAGCAACATACATACGTATGTAACTAAATAAAATAAATTGTACTTTATTAACATATTACTACTTATTTCATATGTATACTTAATAGTGATTTAAGCAAAAATAAATCGAAACAAATTCAAGAAATATTGCAATCTGTGCAGTGGGAAATTTTTTTTTTTGAATATTTTGCATACCTAACAAAAGCATTTTTCGATCAACCCTCTTTTTCTCTTCGTAGCCAAGCTCTTAAAACTTTCACAAATTCAGTGGCTGTGAGCAACTCTCAGAAATTTTATGCCAAGAAAACACCAAACGAGTTCTTCAGCTGGGCTGTGAACCGGACTACAAGAGTGGCAAAGACGAGAAACAGCAATCGTCGTGGTGCAACATCCAACAGCATTGAAGCAAAACATTTCTGCATTTACACACACTGTCACTCACACACACACACACGTGATTATGGAAATGAGCGAATTCGACACACAATGGAGACATCAATGAATTTATATGCTGGCAAGGTCGTGCGCGCGAAAATTCTTATAGGGCCAGTTTTGCGGCAGCAAAAATTAAAACAAAGAAAAAAAAGATTTGGCAAAAAAAAACTAAATACACACAGTGAATGGAAGTAACTGAAGTGCATAGTGGTCTGCCCCTGAAATGCAGATTACAAAATGGGGAGGAATCGAACACACGGCAACTCGACTCTAAAAGGCGAATGGCGTTTGGGCAATTGCTAGTCGAAAAACATAAATTCATAAAGGACAATTAAAATGCTTTTATGAAAGTCACTAAACTTTTAAAAAGTGTATAATTTTTTATGAATGACATTCCTCACGAAAGTTATTCCACTTAATTAGCCGTTGATTGGTTGGTAGAAGCGTTGCCTGAGCACATTAGAGCTTATAGCACCCTTTTGATAAGTTTTCTCTGGGATTCTTGTTCTTTTGCTGCTTTTATGATTCAGTTTCGTCAAACTATTTGAATTTTTCGATGAATCTATTTAGGCTAGTAATGGTGCATTTGGAGATCTCCCTAATATTTTGAATGGAAAAACTCCCAAGTGTGTCATTCCTTATTTGTGCCAGTGCTGGGCACTCGCAAAGATAGTGTAGGATCGTTTCCTTACTTCCTTCAAGATCATAGCTACGGTCATACGGAAAGCCCATTTTAGCCGCATGTTCGCCAATGGGCCAATGTCCCGTTAGCGTTGCTGTTAAATTGACTATATCTTTCCTCGCCATCTTTAGAAGTGCTTCTGTCTTTGGTTTGTCATAGTGCGGCCATTCGTTCCTTGCAGTTTTGCAGGTTTTAAGGTTGATTCAACGTGCATCAGCCATACATACGAATTGCAAATGCAGCTCCCTTTTGATGAGTTCAAGTGGACAGTTTATTGTCTCTGCTTCGAATTCATCAAAAGATGCTCCGGCCTTAGCCAACTCGTCAGCGCTCTCATTTCCGTGTATGTTCTTATGACTGGGAGCCCATGTGAGGGAGATGTCTATTAACTCGGCCATCGAGCTTAACACACATTTGCAATCTCTGACTGCTTAGCAACTTGTTACCGGTGAGGCAAGTGCTAAAGGTGCCGCCTGGCTATCTGAGAAGATGTATGCTTTCGGATTCCTACGCAGCTCCTCCCTAATTCTTTACAGGCCTTTTCGATTCCCCAGTACTTCCACTTGGAAGATGCTGGCAAAGTTCGGTAGTCGGAACGAGAGAGAGAGACATTCAACGTTTCGGAGAACATCCCAGCACACCCACAGCGCAGTCTATTTTGGCCCCGTCAGTATAGATTTCGGTGGAATTCTCCTTCAACTTCACCTGAAAGTTTTTCTTGAAGTCTGTCGTAGGAAGTGTATAATCTGATTGTTTCCCTGCTTCGATAAGCTTGTCAAGAATGCCACTATGACCGTGCTGCTCCAGCAGCCTCCAGCAGCCTTTGAGTCTGATTGCCTAGGACGCAGCAGTTTGGCGGCTGTGGAGTTCTATTGGCAGTTGATGCAGGATCACATTAAGCGCATCGGATGGACACGACTTATTGCTCCTGTAGCTCCTGCACAAGCTGCTCTTCTTATACTGCTTAATTTTCCTGACATTGTATTGTTTTTCTGGTACCAAACTAACGGCCCGTAAGTTAGTATTGTTCGTATGATAGCCGTGTACATGCAGAGGACAAGCTTTGGCTTTAGTCCCCAGTTCCTACTGAATATTCCTTTGTATGTGTGCCAAGCCGTACGCTTTATAAAATATATGGAACATAAATGTGAAAATCCTGTTCAAAACTGTACAAAATGCTTAGAAAAACATTAATTTTTGTTTCGTACAGCGAACTCAATAAAAAGTTACCCCCCAATTTTTATTTTCAATACAATTTCTATGGTTATTTCTACAGCGTATTGGGGTTAAGGGGGATCACCAGTTTCATAGGGGCATACGAGGACAGTAATCCCACTGATCGGAAGACTAGTCATTTAAATCTTTCTCAAGTATTGAATCACACTCAGACAAAGTACTCCAGAAGACAAATGCATGCTTGAATTTGAAAGCTTCTCAAAAATGATGTCAAACACATAATAGTTATTAATATTTTATTGAATATTATTTTGGCTATGCGGAATGCTGCCACTTCCATAATTTGCAATTTTAAACACTTCCGTATTGCCAAGTAGCGCCGCAGTCTGATGAAAGCGCTTATCATTACAACGATACACAAAAGCTAAAGAGCGTTAAGAGAGTGAAGAAAGAGATCGGCCAGCAATCGGAATCAATGAGCGCAGCTGAGCGCGATCACCCACCAACAGCTGTTCAACAAAAACGAGTAAACAACTGGTTAATTCCGGCCGAAAGCTCGCTAACCGCCGCTAAAAACTCCCAAAAGCACCGCAGCTCATGTCATATGATCGACGCGACTTTCGGGTGAGTCAAGTCGTAGTTGGATGGATTTTATAGCGGCGGCTTTCAGTTTATAAACGAGCGTCACATTGTACGGTTGGGAAAGTGTGTGCTGTCGCATGTTAAGGGCTTTCAAACAGCAAAGCACGATCGTTAAACAATTCAAGCTAATAAAATAAAATTGACGCTGTTGCAACGCGCGCGATCGTATGTACATATGTACGTATGTGGCAAACTGCATATTTCTGCTAATTTATTTTGCATGAATGTACATACGTTACAGTAAATTAAAATTAGCACAGCTCCTCGCTGGGCGTAAGATGAGGTGCGATTGAAGTTGGTCTTTTACTTGTTTTTGTTTTCTAAATACGAAACGAACAATGCGAGTAAACATTGCAAATAACCTAAACAGAAATTAAATGTTAATAAATTAAAAAATATCAATAAATTCGCTTTTAATGCTAAATGTGCGATGAAAATAAAAACTCAAGGTGAAACAGTTAAAAAAAAAATCTGGAATTCGGACCAAAACAACTGCTCAGAGCAAAAACACAAAAAAAAAGTGCAATGAAAATTATCTGAGGCAATAAGCAAAGGGGCGTGGAGGGCGTGGCGAGCGTAATTTGTGTACGCGCATCAGTTGTAGCCGTTGCTTTTGTTGTACGCACACAATTTGCGCTGCCTTTTGACCCATTTATTGCAGCAACTGTTGCAAATGGCAAGTTGCAAAACGCAGACAAAAATGCAAATATTTACGCAGCTTAGTGTGGGCTTACATTTAAAACGTACTTTTATCGAAGTACTTAAAAAAAAAGTACTAATAATGGGGGTTTTACCTAAAATGTCACTACTTCGTGAAAAATTTTAAATAAATTTACCTTAAATTAGCGATTATTTTATTTTAGCTTTCATTTATGTAAGTTTCAAGTATTGATGAAATACAAATGCAAATTTACTTAAAATTAGCTTATATTTTTAGCGCAGACGTTATGTTTTTAATGCGAAAAAACTTCAGCAAAAATACCTGACTTTGACGTAGGGAGTTAAAAATACGAGTGCATTACGTTACAACTATTTTCACTTACAGCAGCAGTAAATGACAACTTCATGCATACATATAACGACAGCAGTGTGTGTGTGTGTGTATGTGAAGGGTGTGTTCTTCGCGTAAAAAGTCAGTACAACGAAAGTATGTACGTAATACAAAAACATCCGCATTAAAAAGCGAAAACAGTCGGTAACTCAAATCTTTGCTGAATAAAAAGAATGTACAAAATATTAAAAAAAAAAACACGAAGAAATTATACTTCGTAGTGTTGCCAACTACAAAGTTATTTAATCATTAAGTCAATCGAACACCACAACAAAGAAACACAAGAGACTGTCGTCACTCAGTCATTCAACGAATCGTTCAGTTTTGTGCGCAAAATTGCAATTGGATACTTTTCATTTTTTCGAGTGTGATTTTTTTTTTGTTGTTGCTTTATCTTTGCATCATTATATATACGGCTGGAATAAGTGCATTTATAATATGTAAGCAAACGCTGGCGACGACGAGTCATATTACCAGCTGAGTCGCTCTACAGCTAGCTAGCCAGGCAACCGCACGCCAAAGCAATTGCACCTGACTGTTGGCTAAGGCTATAAGAAAGAAATAAATTCAAGCAGCAGCAACAAAAAACAAAGTCAAACGAGTATTTAATTTTGGACTACTTGAATTGCTGTGCTGTGGCGAAACAAAACCGTCATACGGCGTTAAGCTGTTTTCGAATCTTCTGTTTTTTAATATGGTGAGTACTTACTATTTATGGTAATTTCTGTAGTTTCATGTATGGATAGCCCTTAAAAGCCAGACTTATATGCACTACATACAACACTGTGACCTTGAAAGTCTTAAATCATCGAGTTGCACACTTTCTCATCGACATAAGTAACTCGGTGAGAGGTAAGCTTGAAAGCAAATCAAGAGACAGGCTGCTTTCCAAAACGTCAAAATACAAAGCATCAGTGTCTTTTATTTCTAAACCTCAGCAGATTGCAATTCCAAATGTGCGCAACCAAGGTTAGATGCTAATTTTCAACTAGGTTGCGCAAATTAGACCTTTTCTTCAAGTGCTGTTTAGAAATAAAAGCCACTGATGCTTTGTATTTTGACGTTTTGGAATTCACCAACATTTATGCTATAAGTTCTTTACAGAAAGGCTTTCGGTACCTACTGCAAAACTAATGCCGAATTTCCACTAGGCAATGAAATGACAACAATTTTTTTTTTTAAACGTCGCGTGGAAATGAATTTGATGACTATTTTTTAACGTAATGACACGCAACGTAAATACACGAATTTAATGCCCAACTCTGTCATTAAAATTTTTGCCATTAAATACCTGGTGGAAATCCCGCATAAGACTACATACATATTTATCAAGTATCCGATGTAGTCTATTGGGCAACCAATATTTCTGTGCAACTTAACCTATGTATTTATATGTGGGAAATCGCAATAAGAGTCCTCTGGCTTTATAAGAAAATGGCATACAATTCTAAATAAATTTCTACACCAATGGAATTTCGCATTTTGTTGGCCAATTCTCAAGACATGACACAATTTTATTTGCACAACTTTTCAGCACAACGATCTCAGCGACAGCTTAATTTAAAGTTGCTCACAGCGCAGAAGCCCGATGCTTGACGACCCACTGAACGTCGAGTTGATTGTGCGCTGATTTGTGTGCTTATTTCCACAATTTAAATTAAGCATTACTAATGTTGCACTTAATCAAAGCAACAGCGACAGCAATCCAAGTGCATCGCCAACTGAAAATTACTTTAACAACAACTAATACGGGTATTCAGCGGCGCACAGTGTGGAAAATTAACTTTTTTTTTTGTGATGAAATGTAATATCCCAAGAACGAAAACGGATAGCGAAATAAATGTAAGCGCATTTCAAAGCTTTTAAGATGTAGAATTCAAGAAAAATTACAGTTTTTTTTTATGTTGTAAAAGTAAAATTTTTTACATGTAAAGAAACTAGAAAAAAAATTCGATGCGCTTTTCGGTTTTTATTTTTTTTTTAGCTCTTTGCATATCTACATACTTTAGGTCAAAAACTAAAAAAAAACTACAATTTTTGAAGTAAATTTTAAAGACTATATTTTCTGAATTCCTCACCTCAAAAGTTTGATTTGATAATTGATTTTGTCACAAAAAAAGTGAATTTTCTACACTGTGTGGTGGCAAATCACACGAAACTCAACTATCAACCCATAATTATGTACCAATGAGGCGGCGCGGGTAGGGGCGAAGTGGGATGGCTAATAGCTAGTTGGGTGGTTGGGTAGCGTGCCAGTAGCAAATTTTCCAAATTGCAGATGCATTTAAGCGCCGCCCCAAACCCCACTTTTTGTTGAATTTCGCGCAGCTGCCATTTGCTTTTCCACATGTGCTATTTGCTATTTGCTATTCTTCGTTTGACAATTGACAACTGGCAACACTAAAACGTATGATTATGCGAATTTTATGTCACACGTGACAGTCAGGAAGGCGGCACAATATACACGCATACTTATGCACATTTACATATGTACATATAAGCATCCAGCAGAGGAGGGTTGCGCGCGCGAGTATGAAAGTTTTCAAAGAGGCTCAGCTCAGCCCGTGATTCGATTTGCTTGAGAACTGGCACTATCGAAGTTCTTCGCTACCTACATAGGCTACAAAAGCAACAACTGCGCAATTTTCCTTTGTCTACGAACAAAAGTTGCCCCATTTTCTACATTTTGTTGTCGCACGAAGGTAAATTAATGCGCATGTATTGGTTTTGCAAGCAGCTAACTGCCGAGCGCCTTAAGGTTGACCTCCTAGGTATGTGTTTTTGGTTTGAGGAATGACAAAAGCTGAGCAGCTGCGGCAGCAGTTTCACGAGCTAAGCAGGATGTCGCTGGGGATTTCTGTGCTTCCATACACAGAATTATGATTTTTTTATAGCCGTTCCTTTCTTTGCTGACTCTGAAGGCTTTGTATAAATCACCAAACCAAAAAATTGGGCATGCGCGCCCGAAAAATTGTATTCAAATTCCAAATGCGCACCAGCAAAAAGAACGAAAATTAAAAACTTTTGTACTTTAAGAGTATTAAATTGCCGTGGAATTTTTTGTACATTTGTCACTTGTCGCGAACAATGAATTGAGCTTTCAATGGAGCTCTGCACGCTGCACCGCCCATTCCTTTATCCCCAAGAGTGCATTTTATGGCGACTGCAATCGCCGAAAATTTCTGGCTGCCACATAAACTTGACAAACACCCCAAACAGTGTTGCCGTTTTAGCCCTTTGGTGGCTAAATTTGGCTACCAAATTCTTTTTTTGGCCACAAAAATTTGAAATTGCCCCTAGCCCTTTTTTTAGCCCTTTTCAAAATTTATTCATCATTGACATTAAAATTTTTTATATAATTTTCATGAATTTAACTCTTCGCTCATAAAGCGAACGCCTTTCCTTTAAGGCAAATAAACAGTTCATTGTGTCGCTAGCTTAAGTGGTGGAAAAAGTTTGTTTATCGGTTGCTTCTTTTACCTTTAAGTAACGCAGAAGTTGAAAGGACGTTTTCTATAATAAATTTCGTTAAAAATAAGCACAGAAATAAAATGAATTTTGCAATGTTAAACGCTTTATTAACTGTAAGATATGG